ACGTTATTCTAGCCCACAAGACAGTTCACCTGACGTTTGATTGAAGCTTCTACGTGCCCGGAAAGTCTGTGAAAAATTAAAAAACTAACAAATTTTTCGTCCATTTTTGAGCATTTTTTACTCATGAAATCTTTAAGCGCTCATAACTTTTGAACGATTCATCATAGGATATTGATGTTACCAGGCGAAATATTCTAAATCAAAAGATCTTTAACCCAGTGTAAAAAGTTTTAAGATACCTCTTACCGTTCGCGAGATATACGCAAAAAACGGTTTCAATTTTTTAAGTTTGAATTAGTTAAACGCCTATATCTCGGAAAATATTTAACATAGGATCATGACGTATATGAATGAAATATGCGTATTTAAAATGTGTACAAGCTGGTGCAAAAATTTTTGTGATAGCTCTAACCGTTTCCGAGATATTTGCAAAAAAACAATTTTTTTTAATAATATTGAAATATTAAAAATGCGTTTTTCTCGAAAACTATTGGAAGTGCGATCGATAATTTTTAATGGCATTTTTCTGAGGTCATAAGGCACCCACGGTGCAAAAGCCATCGAAATCGGACGCAATTTTTTTTTCCCCTCATCGGAACACAATTCATGACCCTAGGGTCATGGTATGATTTCAGTTTTTTCTTATTTATTCGGGAACCGTTGAGAATATTAAAATGCGGATTTTTTCACGTTATTCTAGCCCACAAGACAGTTCACCTGACGTTTGATTGAAGCTTCTACGTGCCCGGGAAGTCTGTGAAAAATTAAAAAAACTAACAAATTTTTCGTCCATTTTTGAGCATTTTTTACTCATGAAATCTTTAAGCGCTCATAACTTTTGAACGATTCATCATAGGATATTGATGTTACCAGGCGAAATATTCTAAATCAAAAGATCTTTACCCAGTGTAAAAAGTTTTAAGATACCTCTTACCGTTCGCGAGATATACGCAAAAAACGGTTTCAATTTTTTAAGTTTGAATTAGTTAAACGCCTATATCTCGGAAAATATTTAACATAGGATCATGACGTATATGAATGAAATATGCGTATTTAAAATGTGTACAAGCTGGTGCAAAAATTTTTGTGATAGCTCTAACCGTTTCCGAGATATTTGCAAAAAACCAATTTTTTTTAATAATATTGAAATATTAAAAATGCGTTTTTCTCGAAAACTATTGGAAGTGCGATCGAAATTTTTTAATGGCATTTTCCTGAGGTCATAAGGCACCTACGGTGCAAAAGCCATCGAAATCGGACGCAATTTTTTTTTCCCCTCATCGGAACACAATTCATGACCCTAGGGTCATGGTATGATTTCAGTTTTTTCTTATTTATTCGGGAACCGTTGAGAATATTAAAATGCGGATTTTTTCACGTTATTCTAGCCCACAAGACAGTTCACCTGACGTTTGATTGAAGCTTCTACGTGCCCGGGAAGTCTGTGAAAAATTAAAAAAACTAACAAATTTTTCGTCCATTTTTGAGCATTTTTTACTCATGAAATCTTTAAGCGCTCATAACTTTTGAACGATTCATCATAGGATATTGATGTTACCAGGCGAAATATTCTAAATCAAAAGATCTTTAACCCAGTGTAAAAAGTTTTAAGATACCTCTTACCGTTCGCGAGATATACGCAAAAAACGGTTTCAATTTTTTAAGTTTGAATTAGTTAAACGCCTATATCTCGGAAAATATTTAACATAGGATCATGACGTATATGAATGAAATATGCGTATTTAAAATGTGTACAAGCTGGTGCAAAAATTTTTGTGATAGCTCTAAGCGTTTCCGAGATATTTGCAAAAAACCAATTTTTTTAATAATATTGAAATATTAAAAATGCGTTTTTCTCGAAAACTATTGTAAGTGCGATCGAAATTTTTTAATGGCATTTTCCTGAGGTCATAAGGCACCTACGGTGCAAAAGCCATCGAAATCGGACGCAATTTTTTTTTCCCCTCATCGGAACACAATTCATGACCCTAGGGTCATGGTATGATTTCAGTTTTTTCTTATTTATTCGGGAACCGTTGAGAATATTAAAATGCGGATTTTTTCACGTTATTCTAGCCCACAAGACAGTTCACCTGACGTTTGATTGAAGCTTCTACGTGCCCGGGAAGTCTGTGAAAAATTAAAAAAACTAACAAATTTTTCGTCCATTTTTGAGCATTTTTTACTCATGAAATCTTTAAGCGCTCATAACTTTTGAACGATTCATCATAGGATATTGATGTTACCAGGCGAAATATTCTAAATCAAAAGATCTTTAACCCAGTGTAAAAAGTTTTAAGATACCTCTTACCGTTCCGAGATATACGCAAAAAACGGTTTCAATTTTTTAAGTTTGAATTAGTTAAACGCCTATATCTCGGAAAATATTTAACATAGGATCATGACGTATATGAATGAAATATGCGTATTTAAAATGTGTACAAGCTGGTGCAAAAATTTTTGTGATAGCTCTAACCGTTTCCGAGATATTTGCAAAAAACCAATTTTTTTTAATAATATTGAAATATTAAAAATGCGTTTTTCTCGAAAACTATTGGAAGTGCGATCGAAAATTTTTAATGGCATTTTCCTGAGGTCATAAGGCACCTACGGTGCAAAAGCCATCGAAATCGGACGCATTTTTTTTTTCCCTCATCGGAACACAATTCATGACCCTAGGGTCATGGTATGATTTCAGTTTTTTTTCTTATTTATTTCGGGAACCGTTGAGAATATTAAAATGCGGATTTTTTCACTTTATTCTAGCCCACAAGACAGTTCACCTGACGTTTGATTGAAGCTTCTACGTGCCCGGGAAGTCTGTGAAAAATTAAAAAAACTAACAAATTTTTCGTCCATTTTTGAGCATTTTTTACTCATGAAATCTTTAAGCGCTCATAACTTTTGAACGATTCATCATAGGATATTGATGTTACCAGGCGAAATATTCTAAATCAAAAGATCTTTAACCCAGTGTAAAAAGTTTTAAGATACCTCTTACCGTTCGCGAGATATACGCAAAAAACGGTTTCAATTTTTAAGTTTGAATTAGTTTAAACGCCTATATCTCGGAAAATATTTAACATAGGATCATGACGTATATGAATGAAATATGCGTATTTAAAATGTGTACAAGCTGGTGCAAAAATTTTTGTGATAGCTCTAACCGTTTCCGAGATATTTGCAAAAAAAACCAATTTTTTTTAATAATATTGAAATATTAAAAATGCGTTTTTCTCGAAAACTATTGGAAGTGCGATCGAATTTTTTTAATGGCATTTTCCTGAGGTCATAAGGCACCTACGGTGCAAAAGCCATCAAAATCGGACGCAATTTTTTTTCCCCTCAATCGGAACACAATTCATGACCCTAGGGTCATGGTATGATTTCAGTTTTTT